ATTTAAGACCCTGCATATAAGTGAAATCACATGGTATTTGTCTTTCTCTTTCTGACTTTTTTCACTTAGCATAATACCCTCCAGGTCCATCCATATTGTCACAATTGGCAAGATTTCATTCTTTTAAATATCTGTGTGAGATGAGATTTTCTTCAGATGCACCAACCTAGCAAAAAAATCACAACAGATTGAATAAAGAAGCAGTTACTAGAATCCATTTATTAAATAGATTTGTAAAAACATAAAATAATTCCCCTCATCTCACTAAGTAACTTTTGGAAAATATAGGTATTTTTCATAAAATTTATGTACATTAACACATAAGAGATTCATTATTGTTATCTTAATGAATTACTTAAATTCATTATTTAAAACAGTTTTCATTTTGAATGTGGTAAATACTGCTAGGCGTACCCTACATATATCCTTGAGATCCTCAATTTATCAGTGATTTTAAGAATATAAAAGGTCCTATGAGAACTGCTGCTTTGTGGAAAGAGCATTTCGGTCAGCGAGAACAACTGGTAAAGGCCCCGACGTGTTGCATAGTTGGGAGCACGTTGGCACAGCTGAAGGCCAGGGTCAAGTCTAAAATGTCTACAGCATAAGGAAGGTGGAGTTAAAAAAAAAAAAAATGAGACGAGGTCAAGGGCTCAGCCAGCATCTTATCATTTCAGGTCCCACAAAATGAAAGTAAGGAACAGAGAAGGGGAACTGGAACTACCAGATATTATTTAAGAAATGAAACTTAATGAGATCACAGAAATTTTAAGCTTGAACATATCTAAACTTCCTGAGTGGGTGGTGAAAACATATTTTCATATACCATCAATGGGAGTGATAATCAGAAGAGCATTTTGTAAGCAATTAGGTAATGACTGCATAGTCTTGAGATCTGCATACACTTTTCTCCAGAAATTCTACTTTTGGAATTCCTTAAGGTATATTGCACTAGTGCACAAAATTTGCTCACTATAGCATTGCTCTTCATAACAATGAAATAATAATTTAAAAAACACACATTAAAACTACTGAAACATTCACCATTGAGCAAAGACATAAGAAATTTGGATACATTCATACAACAGGGTACTTGGTAGCCATATAAAACATAATGCAAAGTTATATGTATTAATAAAACAAAATAAGGTAAACATTTTAGGTGAACAGTGCAGGACATATAGGACAAAAGAAACAGAGAGAGAGACAGAGACAGAGACAGAGACAGAGACAGAGACAGAGACAGAGACAGNTAGTGCAGGACATATAGGACAAAAGAAACAGAGAGAGACAGAGACAGAGACAGAGACAGAGACAGAGACAGAGACAGAGACAGAGACAGAGACAGAGGCAGAGTGGAGGGAATGAGATTCTGTTGTATATATAGGAATGTCTGATATGTCTGAAGTAATAAAATCTAAACAATGATTGTTTTTAGGGAATGAGATTGGAAATTCAGTTGGGTTCAGGTTATTTTAACTTTATATCCAGGTATGCTGTTAAATATTTCAGCATGTTACACACCATTCATGTATATTATTTTTATAATGCAAATGAATTAATGCAATAGTAGAATAAAGCCTATTATTGATAATTCTGAAAATATATTTTTATATAAAATGCCAAGAGAAATGAAGGCAATTGTAGAATGAGTTTAAGAATATGTGCCCATATAAGCATAAGGCATACAAGGATGAAGGCCAGTTTCATGGCTCATAAGAAGTGTTGAAATTAAGAATGACAGTAAGATTGATGTGAGGAGAGAAAAAATTCTAATTCACTCTTTTATTGTCCGATTTGAAAATACAAACCACTTACTAAAAATGCATTTTTCCATTGAGAAAAGCAGAGTAAACAAATTAAGTACAACAAATTTGAAGAATAAAATTCCAGTGTATATGATAGTACTTTGCAAATTATAAGAGAAAGCAAGTGTTCACTGTAAAGTTAAAAAATAACCACTACATTATGGTACATCTATATAACAGAGTTTCATCTAGGGAATAAAAATGACATTAGAGAATAATATTTGATGATATATAAAAGTATCCACAACTAATTGTTATGTGGAAAGGATACAAAACTATAAGCATAACATTGTGACGTCCTTGTGAAAACCAAAGCGTCTGTAGGTTTGTATGTGTGCGCACTCAGAGCCTAGAAAAACACACCAAGAGGTTGTTATCTTTGGGCTAGAATATTTGTTTCCATCTTTTTTTACTGTGAGTATTTTCTAAATGTGCTAAAATTTTCATTTTCTTCTTTTTCTCTATATTTTCCAAATGTGCTAAAGCAAACTACTTTTATGAAATGTGTAATAAGAAAAAGTTGAGTTTCAAACCACAATATATAAGATGATAAACATGGAAATTTCTCCTCTAATAATAGGGAATTGTCATTATATTTCACCATATTCTGTGCTCTCAGAGGACTTCACTTACTTAGATGCACAGCCACATGTCACTGTACACGGAGTGCAGGGAAATGGGGACTGTCATCCATCACCCAGAACGGAGAGCAACGTTGCAGTTTGGATGGGTTATTGGTAGCACGTTAGCTTTAGCTCCTCACATGAGGAAAAAAGACCTGCCCCAGAATTTAATACCCATAGATTAGATAATCTCTGAGATTTATTCTAAAGCTGCAGTTCTATGACTCTGTGAATAACTAATAACACCCATAAGATAACAAGCATTTTAATGTATCAATCCCTTATGTTATGCCAAGACTTATACCAATAGCATTATACATATGGTCTGTTCTGCTGCTCATAAGTTTTCCTATGGGCATCATCATATCCATTTTTAAAATGAAGACACTAAAGCTGTCAAGTTACTTTCTTTTTTTTTTTACATTTTTACTTCTGGTAGGTTGCTTGAGAAAGTTTCTGATCTGTATCCATCTTTCCACAAAATCTGGGTTCCCTTACTTCTTCTTCCAGGACTGACTTCAGAGCTCACTCGCTAGCCTGGCACAAGCAAAACCTGACATCCAAATGCTTATGGCAAATGAAACCCTCAAGTTGTGGTGAGCCGGGGGTCTGAGGAGCCCAGGGTGGGGCTCAGAAAGAGGTGGGTGAAATCTTCACAGTGGTGTTCGTCACCCCTGCTGGTCTCAGGTCACAGGGAGTCCGGCTGGGGTGCAGCAGCAACTCAGCCACTGAAACTGGGGTGTTGAGGCCTCTCGCCTCCATCAGCACCAATGAGCCGCGTCCCCACGCACCAGCCTGGAAGCTCCTGCGTTGCCCAGAGGTCTAGAGAGTAGATGTGGCTGTGTGTGTGTGTGTGTGTGTGTGTGTGTTAGACAAAGAAACTAATGCTTAATTAATTTTTAACACTTACAAACTATTTCCCAGTTAATATTTCAGTGTTTTCTCAACCGATACTAATATTGTCTATAAAATACTTCAGACTGATTATATTAACTACCTTGTCTTAGCTCCGATCTGTCCACCCTCTTCCCAATGACTGAAAATGTTTGTGCTTTTGTTTTCCCATTTACTCGTCAAATGACTTTTAACAAATTATTTAGACTTTCTGAGCCCCCATTGCCACTTCAAAAAATGTGATAATAATACTTATGTGGATTTTAAAGCATAAAATTTAAAGTTAGAAAAAAAAGTTATTGCTTCCTAAAGAAAAATCCTAGGAGTAGATAGCTGAAATTTTTGAAATAAAATATCAGATTATATAATTTGACAAACTCAAAGTTAATGCATAGAATTGTTTTAACTATCCTCCTACAATGAGCCATTTAATTATGTGGTTGATCTATTTGTCTTTTTGTTTTCTTGATTTCTTCTGAGTTTTTTTAATTTCTTCTATTATAAAACTAAGGTCTTTCTATAATTTTCTAAAATAATAATAAAATATGCTATGAATTACCTTACCATTGTTTGAATTACTTTCAAGAAGATTGTTATTTTCTTTTCTCACATTCTATGACAAAAATAAGGCATGTATCCCAATATTAATTTTTCAGACAAATACATTAGTGGTCATGAAGATTAAATAGCTTTTCACAGCTTTCATAGCTAAAAAGTGACATATTTAAATTATTTTAAAAGGGAAAATTCTTACAATGTGGCAACTTATTTCTAAGAGTTCTTTATAAGCCTGAGTAAATGAAAATTGTGAAGGAAAGAAATCCTGTAAATACAGCTAATACAATTACAAATTAAAATAGACATTGCTAGAAGCATGCATCAGAAACTGACAATAAAGGATATATCAAACCAGACTTTTGGGAGATTACAATGTTGCCTAATTTTTAGTTTTGAAAAAGGTATATTCCTAGCATGCAATGACAGAGTGAAAGATTATTGCTTTGTGATATTTTAGTATACATTTTTTTATGCTCTTTTATGTTTTTTTGGCAGTAAGCTATAGAATACTATCCCTAAGTAAGATTTTGGATGAATTCCTAAATTAAATCCACAAAATAAGAAACAGACAGAACAATACTGATTGGTTCCAGACCTGAAAAGCATAAAACATGTCCCCTTAACATTAGAAGTGAGCTGGAAAGCTTAGTATTTATCATTTGTATCAGAGTGTAAATAAAGTACTTTCCATATTTCAGAAACTAATGTAAGTTACTCTCCTGGCCAAAAACGGTTAGTGCTAAAATATCAATATAGATTTCAAGAGTAAAAGGCAAGAGGATTCAATTCCTCTGAGTCTGCTCGTTTGCATTGTCCTGAAATTATGTATTCTATTTATGTGTCATAAGACCCTTAGATGAACATGACAAGTGGCTGAGAGAATGGCATTTAATTTTTGCCACAGCTAACAGACGTAAAGAGCTTTGTAACAGAAATGTTCTCACTCTGGATGCTTCCCTTGCAGCAGGACTCATGTTTTGGTTCCAAGCTATGGTATTTGGGCTAGCTGAGCACACACCCCTCGCCCATTCCATAGGGAGTGTGCTGGGCCGTCCTTGCTCCCCAGTCCACCTGCACTTCGTTAGAGAGCACAGCGTCCACATGCCACACCACAAGATCCCCACAATGACATAACTCCATTCAGAGACTGGCGTGACTGGGCTGGGTTCCCCCCCCCAGCTCTTGTATCACTAGGAATCTGGCAGCCAACTCCGTCCTCACAGAGTTTACAGCATATATTGGTGGATTCTTGTCCACAGTGCATCTGCTTTAAGAATTAACGAAAGCAGAATCAAGACAGCAAGGTAAGTGCTGTTTTAACTATAGCACTGGGGATGCTGACTGTTTGGGACAGTGTTTATTGTAGCAGGAACAGAAAAAATTCCAGAGCAACTTTGCCAGTTGCTATTCGACAGCAAAGTCATAGTTTAGAGCATTTATTTTTACACTTTTCTTAATATGGTTTCCATGATTTATGGATTTGAGATACATTTCATGCGGTATATGCTGTGTTGCTTGGCAAAGGAAGTTATAAAATGTTTCAGGGCAGGAATGAGAAAATATTTAAACTAGACAGTGAAAATGTATGGCAATTAAAATATTTGTTATTTTATGCTAATGAGTTATATAGGTTAGTATTGTTAGAACTAGTTTTGCAGCAAAAAAAAAAAAATAGGCTATTTCAAGCATTATTAAAAGTATTTTGCCTCACATATATTGCTATAGTTTGTTACAGTTTTCCATAAATATTTTATGTTGTTTTAAAATGTGAGCTAAAGGACATAGACCCTCTTTTGGATTACTTATTTCTATTGTGATAATTTTAAAGATTTGGTTTTTTGGATGTATGTTTTAATGGACATGTTCTGAAGAAATTCTGGGAAACATAATTTATTTTTTGGAAAATAGCATTTCCCCCATAACCACAGGTATTTGCAAAAACTGGGAGGAAAGTAAATAAAGTGCACTTTTGCTTCACAGTGGAGTCCTTATATGGCTACAAACTCTCTTTGAATTCAGAACCCTTGTTTTTACTCTGCAAAGAAATATGAAAGCATTTTTTTCATTACTGTTCAATACATTATAGTTACCATGTTTATTTTAATGTATACTGAATTAAAATAAATTGAAAGCTTATTAATAAAGTAAGACAAGTCTTTACAACATTAACATACTGTAACTTACAAAGAATCCTATAAATAGATTAGCAATATTAATTGTTCTCATGGCCAAGTCCTGTCAGCTAAATTCAATGACTCTATCATTGTCTTAGGGAGTACTTTACTAAGACTCTCTTTACAAATTACTTTGTGTTTGCTGTCAGAGTGTTTCTAACAACTTTCTTAGTGTTTCATCTGCTAAAATAAAGTACCTTGTAATTCCAAGTTGAAGCAAAGATGTTTAAATGCCCTGATACTAAAAATCTTACTGCCCCAAACTCCTCAGATCCAAAAGCTTATACCATACTTCTCACAGGAAGATATATTGCCTCATGGTCTCTATTGGAATGTGGATCCTGTTCCACATTAAGGATTTACCAGCTTCTCCTCAGCCATAGCTCTTCACTCTACACAAGTCCAACTCATATATCCTATTGCCCTTTACCTAAATTTCTGACCCTGTATTTCTAACGCAATTAAAATATACTTCACTGAGCCTCACTTTAGAAACATGTTCATACTAGAAGGTCATTGTTATAAATTGTTTTTAATTTATATTCTCAAGTGTATCCTTTTTTAGTGACTCCTAATGCCACTGTTAAATACAGACTTTCCTCAATGCCCAGACCTCTCCCAGGTCCATTCTGTAAAAGCACTAAAATCCAAATAAGTGAATCATGCCTTCTTACATTTTGGCATGAAGAAGGTAGAGAACTTGTGAGTCATTGACAGAAAGGAAAACTTTAATTCAAAACTTGGGAAAGAATACCTTTTTCTATCAGTTGGATATCTTTCTAGGTTTAAAAGTGTCTAGAATTTGTGACACTTCCCTGATTAATAAACATTCATTTTACTAAAACTTATATACTATATATTAATTTCAGAACACAGTTTTGTAATGTGCCTAGAAGTACAGAATGTTAAACAAAAGTTGAAATAATATCCATGCACACCCCACCAAGAAGTCTGTTCCCTTTCCTCAGAACCAACAACAATAACCAGACATTTTGAAAGGAATGTACTCCCCTTTCTCACTGCCCTCCCCCCTGCGGCCCTCCACCTCAGGCCACACAAGTTAAGAACAGCTTTCCTTCAAGCAAAACCACAGATTGCTCATGTTCCCAGTAAAGGTTTTCTTAATGAGACATTTTAATGGTGTTGAATGGTAGGGTAGAGGGTACAGTTTCCAATTGTCTTCTCATTTTCATTTTTGTGGTTTTGAAGGGTGTTCTGAAGCAGTATTGTAGCATGGTGGTCAATGGGCAACACCCAGACAGACACCTCTTGCAGGAAAGCATTGAACTAAGGAAGGGCCTGGACAGATGGACTGGGACAGTTAGGCCAGGCTCGCCCAGTAGGGGGCTCATGCGTATGCACTCTAACCAGAAATTGTTCACTGCTTCACAAGTTGTAAACATACCTCCTTAGGCTCATAGTATTTAAATAAACATTAAAAATACACCCTTAGGGGCACTAAAAAACATTACAAAATAAAAAATGCACATTTCCTAATACATTTAACATTGCCAATTGAATAAACTTTTCCCTAAAGCATACTATTTTATACTATGTTTCCACTTTATTTAGGATTCAAAGCATTAGCCAAAAATGAATCTTGGTGCGTTTACTCTCCTCTTGGCACTAATCACTGGTGGCAGCAGCAACGAAGACTACGATTATTACGATTTCCCGCTGTCGATATATGGACGATCATCTCCAAACTGTGCACCAGAATGCAACTGCCCTGAAAGCTACCCATCAGCCATGTACTGCGATGAGCTGAAATTGAAAAGTGTGCCAATGGTGCCTTCTGGAATCAAGTACCTTTACCTTAGGCATAACCAGATTGACCATATTGATGAAAAGGCCTTTGAAAATGTAACCGATCTACAGTGGCTCATTCTAGATCATAACCTTCTAGAAAATTCCAAGATAAAAGGAAGAATTTTCTCTAAGCTGAAACAACTGAAGAAGCTGCATATAAATTACAACAACCTAACAGAATCTGTGGGCCCACTTCCCAAATCTCTGGAGGACCTGCAGCTTACTAACAACAAGATCACAAAGCTTGGCTCCTTTGAAGGACTGGTAAACCTGACCTTCATCCATCTTCAACACAATCAACTGAAAGATGATATCTCAGGTGCTTTTAAAGGCCTTAAGTCACTCGAGTACCTTGACTTGAGCTTCAATCAGATGACCAAACTGCCCTCTGGTCTCCCAACATCTCTTCTAACTCTCTACTTAGACAACAATAAGATCAGCAACATTCCTGATGAGTATTTCAAGCGTTTTAAGGGACTGCAGTATCTGCGTTTATCCCATAATGAACTGGCTGATAGTGGAATACCTGGAAATTCTTTTAATGTATCATCCCTGCTTGAGCTGGATCTCTCCTATAATAAGCTGAAAAGCATACCTACTGTCAATGAAAACCTTGAGAACTATTACCTGGAGGTCAATGAACTCGAAAGTAAGTAGAAAGCTATGCTTGTGTTTGATGTATCCTCAAGTTTTTAAGTGCCTAAGCTGTGTAACACAAATATTGATTGCATCTGGTTCCATTAAAAAAGTTAATAAAATTGCCAATAAAGTCCCTCTAATTCAAAAAATAGAAGAATTCTAGCTCAGTTGTTTATCCAACATCTGGTCTTTCTTTGGAGCGTCCAGATAAGAAACCATTAGGATCATAGAATTTAATCACATATTTCTTTGAATTTAATAGTCTGGGCTAGTTAATCCTGCTGTGCTATTGCTTGATATTTATCTATTATTTTCCTCCTGTGTGACTTAGATGTGTGTCCTACATTTATGGATTGTCAAGATCTAGCTGAGGGAGGAACAAACAAATGCAGGAGAGGCACAGCTAGAGAGGCTTCCAGGCCTCCCCCCTGCCTATCCCCAGAGCAGCCTGAATACCCTCGTGGTCTTCTCTGACATCTTTACTTGGGGCTCAACCGAGTACTCTGCTATCATGACCGTTGTCCATTTGTCATCCCTGTTAGGTGTGGGTGGCCTCCCAGTGTTATGAGACTGTGAGGAAGGTTAAGGAGGGAAGGTATATGATAAGGGTTTGTAACATTTTTTAAATAGTATTACAGAGCTCCTTTTCTTATGTACAATTCTCCACCCTATTTGGTTTTCCTCAGTTTCTCTTTCTCTTTCTTTGCTGCCTTCATTTATTTTTCATTTACCTTCTAAGTGGGAGTTTGACCTGATCCACTTGGACTATTTATGTACTATTCTTGTCTTCTGGGACATGTTTCAATGTAAGCAATACAGATTTAGATGAGAAATGGACATTTATTATTCCTCACCTTACTCTTTAGAAAAACTTGGCAAAACTTGCTTTTTGGACAACCTTTCTAAATGAAAAAAATCAGATGGGAAACACAGATTCACACATAAACAATTGTATCTGCAAAATAATCTATTGAAATTGAGCATCCTTACACCACAAAAGTTGGTTGTCTTGTCATACTGGATAAGAATATTGACATTCCTATTAGAAAAATTGCACCATGCCTTATTAATATGATACTTTGTAATTCTGCAACAGTTTCCTGTAACTCCTAGAAAGGTTAGGGTGTTTTCAAGGAGACCATGATTGCCAACTCTGAATTGCCACGTTCTTTCATATATCCAGAAAACTTGCTTGTTATATACAATATGCAGTCAAGCTGTCAGAGCTGAACCCTTACAATTGTTTCTACTAAGAAACTCACTGTGTGGCTACACATGGCCCCACATTATAAACATTTGTGGTTAGGAGGAAGGATACTTAGACTGGCCCAAATGCTAATGGGATTTAAGATGTTTGAGGATGTTTGGGGGCTGAAGATATTCTGTTAGATGTGGTGGGTGGAGATTAGCAGCAGCAGCAGGGCCACCTCCCCCTCTGAGGTAAGAAAGTGCAGAGATACAGATGCAGGAGAATTTGGAGGGATAAAGACCAGACCTCATTACATGAGTGAAAGATGGAAGAGCCAACACGGGAGATGGGAAAGGTGGTCTATGGGAGGAATGCTGACAGTCACTCAGTGCCAAGCTGGGATAGAAACCACAGAGCCCAGCACATATGGTCATTTGGAAATGAGTAGTTACCTTTCTTCCTTCCTTATGCTTGGCATTTAGGCATATGTATTTCAGGTATTTTTGTTGTTTGTCTTTGCATCTATGTCTTCAACTTAGTTTTATTTTGCCATATAATAATTATGTATACCAATTGTCTACATGTCCCTTAATGTCTACCATTAGGAAATCTATAGCCAAAACTATTCCTCATATTTCAAACTTGCAAGTCTAAGACACTAGTTTAATCACATATCTTCTTAGTGTGAGATAATTTGGAAAAAAGAACAAAACATAAAGGATATTAGTAATTATTTAGTACATATTATGTGCTAACACTCTGTGAAGTGTTTTACATACCTTAATTAATTTAATCTTCATGCAACACAGTGTGATAGATATTATCTAACAAGAAGATCAAATAAATATTTCAAAGTCACCCAGCTAGCAAATGACAAAGGCAGAAAACTAGCATAGGTCTAAGCCCATGTTTTTCTCATTGTTCCATATTTCCTCAGGGGTAGGTACCATAGCAAAGATCCCTGGAATTTGACTAATGACTTATTTTTCTTTTTTTTTTTTTAAGTTTTATTATTGTTTAAAATATTACAGATGTCCCTTTTTCTCCCCAATGACCCATTCCCCCCCGTTCTTTCCCCCTCCCCAGTCCCTCTCCCCACCACTGTCCATGTATGACTTATTTAAGACGGCATCATAGAGGTAAGGAGCACTGTGTTTGGCTTCCACTGAAGTCATTGTTAACTAGAATTTGAGAATGAGAGAAAATAACAAGATAAAGTACCAGATAAGGTTAATCTGAAATAAACTTGAGCAAATATAGACAACTTCTATGTTCACATATAAACCATCCAGCTTAGTAGCAATCATAGTTTCCAGTATAAACTAAATCATTTTTTTTCTTGTGGCAGACTTCTGACCACAGAAAATGATGTGACTCAGATGGTGGTCATTCCATGACTTGGTTTTTGCCTTGGAGTTTTGAATCTGTCCTGGTGTGTGCTGGCTGGAAAACTCTTTAGAGGTCACCTAGTTAACATCTCTCATTTCCAGATGCAAAAACTCAGGATGCTTATATTGGTGAGATGATTCACACAATGGCACCAATTTTACATATCTTGAGACTAAATATTCTAAAAGTTCCTAGGTAACATGATACATTTATTAAATGTCCTCCTAAAATCAATTCTTTCGAAATCAAGAACTTAAAATAAATATTATTCTTTGAACAATTCCATTGACTGTCCTGATCCACCATAGTTATTTTACTAAATATTGTTGTATCATTTGGTAGTCTGAAATATTTCTCAGTAATTCCAAATTCAAAGATACACCGTATAACTGACTTAAAAAAACAACTGGATTCCCGGCCAGTGTGGCTCAGTGGTTGAGCTCCGACTTAGGATCCAGGAGATTGAGGTTTGATTCCCTATCAAGGCACATGCCCAGGTGCAGGAGGCAGCCGATCAATGACTCTCTTTCATTGGTGTTTCTATCTCTCTCCCTTCCTCTCTCTGAAATCAATAAAAATATATTTAAAAAATAAATAAATAAAGCTGGAAGAAATCTCTAAGATGTTATTGTGGACTTGAAAAAAAAATTAATGATTATTTTAAACCATGTAATAAAAAAGAAAAAAATGATAAAAGTTTTTCATTCTTTCATTTCCAGAGCTTGACGTAAAGAGTTTCTGTAAGATCCTGGGACCACTGTCCTACTCCAAGATCAAGCATTTGCGTTTGGATGGCAATCGCATCACCCATACTAGTCTGCCGCCTAATATGTATGAATGTCTACGTGTAGCAAATGAAATCACAGTTAATTAATATCTGCTCATTTTGATTATATTGAGGGGTATCCTGGAGCTACATTTTATGCTTATATTTTTGTATGTTGGTTTTCATAGTCTTCATTTTTGTTGTTGTTGTTGATTACTTCCATGAATTTTAAATTCTGAGAGAAAATGTTTTGTAAACATTTTACTACTTTTTAAAAAAGAAAAGATGAAAAGCAGGCCTATTTCATCACAAGCACAAACGTATACTCACACATGTACAACAAACAATGCTTTATTGTAAATTTAGTGTTTTTTACATCTCTACTGTTAAATGATGCGCAAAGCCTTTTACTGGTTGCATGGAAGCCAAGTTTTATAACTTCTAAATCCTAACTTAATGTGCCCAAAAGCATGGAATACATACATATGGATGTTTACTGTCTTGAATCAAATTATCTTAATATGTTCAAGTTTGTGTAGCTGAAAAGTAGGTGGTAAATTCTGAGACCAATGATTTTGTGAAATACTAAACAAAATTCATGAAGCCACATACATTTAAAGCAGAATTTTTAGGATTAAGAATTCATATAGTCACCTAGAGAAATTTTCTAGAAATATTTTTCACTTTAAATCATGTGTATGTTTCTTTTTTTATTATTTGCACGTTATGTTTAACAAGCTAATAGTAAAATAAAACATAGCAAATGGCAGCACTGTGTTTGCCTTCTTATAAAATTCATCTCTCTCATATATAAAATAATCAGGTGCCACATAATGATAGTGCAGTGAATGATGGATGGATCGCATGTATGATGATGGTCTCATAAGATTACAATGGAGCTGAACAATTTCTATTGCCTAGTGATGTCATGGCCTCATAACATCACAGCACAAGGCATTGCTCCTGCGGTTGTGGTGAGGCTGGTGTAAGCAAACCTGCCGCAATGCCAGTCATGTAAAAGTATAGACACACAATTCTGTATAGTGCATAACATTTGATAATTATCATAAACATGTATTTACTATACTATACTTCTTATCATTATTTTAGTGTGTATTCTTTTTACTTATTTTTTAAAAGTTTCTGTAAAAGACAATACCATGTTATGCCAGCATCAGCCTCATACATCTCATGTTTATGTCTCTTGTTTGCACCATTTCCTCTTGTGCTTGATTTAATCTCGTGTTGTTTTATAACTTTAGTGGAGCCTAAATCCATAGCATTTATAGAGTCTATAGCAGGGTACAGTGATGCCCTAGGCCTTCCCATTCACTCAACACTCACTCACCCAAAGCAACTTTTGGTCCTACAAACTCTGTTAATGGTAAGTGCCCTGTACAAATATACCACGTTTTATCTTTTGTACCATATTTTTACTCTTCCTTTTCTATGTTTAAATACACAAACACTTACCATTGTGTTATAACTGCCTAAAGTATTCAGTATAGTAACATGCTGTACAGGTGTGTAGCCTGGGAGCAATAGGCTATACCATGTGGCCCAGGCTGTACCATCTAGGTTTGTGTAAGTGCACTCTACGATGTTCTCACAATGACAGAATGGCCTAAGGACAAATTTCTCAGAACATATCTCCATTAAATGGTGCATGACTATAATAGATTAGATTCAAAAAATATCTCTAACCTGCAATATTTTACTCATGTTAAATAGAAATTCTCACTAAATAAATTGTCTGCTTCTAACATCCACTTGCAAAGGGTTTTTAAACACCTTTATATTACGTACTTAAAAGCGTCCATATCCCAATTCCAATTCATGAGATGATGAGTTCCCTACCACCACCAAATGATTCGCTGGACATCAAGTGGGTATCCTACAATTCAACTCAATTTTGACATTATCAACCTGTAGACAGTGTCAGATTCCACAGGTTAAGAGCTCCGTCCTACAAGACTATCCCCTTTTTTCAGATGCCAGTAGCAATCCCAGGTCGTTAACTGGACTTCTAAACAACTGGCTATAAAACAGGAGTTCCTAACACCCCCTCCTTGGGTTTGATTAATTTGTAGATTGGCTCACAGAACTCAGGAAACTTGTTTACTCACTAGATTACCAATTTATTATAAAAGGATATAACTCAGGAACAGAAGAAATACAGAAGACAAAGTTTGGGGAAAGAGTATGGAGCTTCCATGCCCTCTCCAAGCATGCCATTCTCTTAGAATCTCCACATGTTCACTAACCTAAAGACTCTCTGAACCCTGTCCTTTTGGGGTTTTAGAGACTTCATTACATAGGCATAAATCATTAAATCATTGTCTGTTGGCAATTGAACTCAATCTTCTGCCCCTCTCCCCTCCCAGAGATGGTGGTGTGGGGGACAGAAAGTTCCAACCCTCTAATCACATGATTGGTTCTCCTCACAACCAGCCTACTACCCTTAGGTTACTTTCTAAAAGTTACCTCATTAACATAAAAAAAGATATCTTTATCACTCTTATCACAAAAAATTTGGAGGGTTTTTTTTTGGAACTGTGAGCCAGGATCCAGGACCAGATTAAAACTATATGAAAAATATATTTAGGTCATCTGATAGCACACTGTTTAAATCTCACAGCTGGTTTGGATATTTGTTATTATTCTCATTCCTGTTGGCTTTATGATTCAAATGCAATGGTATTCTATTAAATAGGAAGCAGCTAAAATTTCGACAATCGCTGTTTGGCTGTTAAGCAACAATAATGGATAACTTTCAGGATTAAAAATGTTGAATGTATGTACAAGTTTCAGAAAATGGGACTTTAAAAAATATATTTATCTTGAAATGAGTACATTTGTAACAGAAGTTTAAAATTTATAAGTCAGTAATAACAGCTTTCAGCTTTTTATATTATGAATATCCATGATTCTATACTAGAAGAAATATTAGGGCATATGATTTATAAAAATAACTTCTACTTTAGTTAACAATAAAGCATATGTTGGGAGCCATTGTGCAGTCAAAATTATACTCATTCCATATAATCTCAGATGTATCTGAAAAAAAGGAAACACCTCTAAAGCATGTGTTTAAACAGAGCATTTTTAGTGAATTCTGTCTACTGGTAGAACAGCCTAATCATCAAAGGCCCATCATCAACTAAGACTGAGTAGACTGGCAGATCTGTGAGATGTATTTTACACTGGGCATATTACATTTTGTCTCCTGGATAAACAATTGGATACTGGATTAAAGCAATGATGTACATGGGTTTTTCTTTCCTAAAACTGATTTGTTGGAGACTTAACTGTAGACCCTGATTTTGGATCTACAAATTGAAAAATGAGAAAAGACCCTCTTTAGTCTAAACATCTCCATTTGAAAATAAGAGCTTGGATGGATGTAGTGTGGAGGGGGTGAATGGGGGTAAAAGGGGACATCTGTAATATCTTCAACAATAAAGATAAAGAAACTTAAAAAAATGTACAATTTCATAAAAAAGAAAAAAAAAGAAAATCAGAGCTCGATCACTCCTTTATAGTGAAGGAGAACTATGGTGTACTGGGGCTCTAAGGTTTATGAGCAACTATCATGCCCTAAAAGGTACAAAGAATACAGATGGGTGATAGGCCACTNGAAAATCAGAGCTCGATCACTCCTTTATAATGAAGGAGAACTATGGTGTACTGGGGCTCTAAGGTTTATGAGCGACTATCATGCCCTAAAAGGTACAAAGAATACAGATGGGTGATAGGCCACTAAACCTACACTTCTGGTGGGAATGCAGACTGGTGCAGCCACTATGGAAAGCAGTATGGAGTTTCCTCAAAAGATTAAAAACTCACCTACCATTTCATCCAGTGATCCCACTCCTAGGAATATATCCTAAGGAACCCCAAACACCAATCACAAAGGACTTAATTCACCCCTATGTTCATAGCAACGCAACTTACAATAGCTAAGATCTGGAAACAGCCCAAGTGCCCATCAGTAGATGAGTGGATAGAAAAGCTGTGGGACATTTACACCATGGAATACTACGCAGCTGTAAAGAAGAAGGATCTCTTATCCTTTGGGACAGTATGGAGGGAACTGGAGAGTATTATGCTAAGTGAAATGAGCCAGTCAGAGAAGGACAAGTACCACATGATCTCACTTATATGTGGAATATAAAAAACAAAATAAATCGATGAACAATATGGATCCAGAGACAGAAGCATGGAACAGACTGAGGGATCTCAGAGGGAAGGTGGGGAGTGGGAGTGGGTGGGGAAAGATTAATCAAATAACTTACATGTTTATAGGCATAACCCATGGACATGGACATTGATATGGGGTGGGATGGATGTGGAGTGGAGGGGATCAATGGGGATACAAAGGGGACACCTGTAATATACTCAACAATAAAGATAAAAAACTTAAGAAAAGAAACAGGAAAAAAAAAGAAAATCAGGGCTAGATCACACCTTTGTAGTGAAGGAGAGCTATGATGTACTGGGGCTCTGAGGTTTGTGAGGAACTATCATGCCCTAAAAGGTACAAAGAATACAGATGGGTGATAACTAAATGAGCCAGAGGAATGTTGATTTCTGAGTTAAAAGTTCTCCAACTGGTAATAGCTGTTTTCAGAAATACTGGAGAGGTTAAAAGATTGGTTTTACGAAGAACTATTTTTTTTCTATAGCTGTGGTTTTATCATAATGATGACCTTTTTTGTTGTTATTGTTGTTGGATTTTGCAACTATTATAAATAGTTGCTTAACATTTTACTCATAAGTAAAAGAAAATTCTCATTTTATTTAAAATGACCTCTAAAGCAACTTTACTGCTAGAACTGAAAATGTATATAAAAATAACAATAAAAGTTAACAGACATGCCATAAGTATATGAAATACATTTTAATAATATTTAGCTACTTATATTTATTTATTCACTCATGAAGTTCATAGATTTTACCTCCTAATAAGCTATAAGAAGTTGAATACAACTCAGGTGAGGAAAAGTGGAAATTTAGGCAACCTAAAATGAGTGTGGTCATGCACCTTTGTCTCACTTGGAGAGCCCCAAGAGTCCACTTCTGCTGTGTACTGGCCCTTCTTTCACATTTTGGTTGGCCCAAAGAGTAACACCTACATGTGTCTATATCCCTTAAAGTATACCTGCTGTTCTGTAAAAGAGAATACATTCTACATTTTAAGAATATTTAAGAACCTTAGCTACTTTACTCATGAATTGTCTCAAAAAGAAAAGCCCTTTATTCTCACTGCCACTGCTTTAAGATTTGCTCAATTTTCACCTAGATTTCTGAAGAGCCTCATGTTTTTCCTAACTTCATCACCCACAATATTACCAGAGTGAGTTTTCCTGTATATAAACCTGCTCCTTTATTTTTTACCTGTTTAAAACTATTCAATGATACAACGTCATTTTCAGGATGTGATTTAGGTTCCTCAGTGCAGCCTACAAGGGCCAGGATACCAAAGGCCCTTTGCTGTCTGGTCTTGGGTAACTTCTAGAGCCTCATCTCTTATCAAGCCCTGCCAGGCCCCACCATGCACCATATTAAATCATTTGATACTTTGGTACTTACCACTTTGTAGCTGGTTTTGCTCTGGTTTGTATGAAAACTCTGTCTTTTCTTCCTGGAATCTACGGCTCTTCTACTTAGAAGCACCTACATATCTTTCAAGACTCGCCTTAAGCTACTCTGTCCCTTTGTCATAAATGCTTCTGAGCCTTCTTAGATAGAATTAATATCCTTCATCATAAAAATAATACTTTATCATAAAATAAAAATTCTTTATCAAAGTTTGAAACTAGAATTAGCAATTCTCTCTGCTATGCCTCTATCTGTAACTTTTCCATTAATTTATTAAACAAGTATTTACTGATCGTCTACTATACTCCAGGAATGGCTTAGGCATTAGGGATTCAGGGGTGACAGAGACCAGCAAATCCCTCTCTTACCAAAGCTGACATTCATAATCATTATATTGGATAAATATTAGCAAAAGATCTAGTATAGTTTTAATCATATCAGACAAAAGAGTGTTTTACAAATATATATTTTTATTGGTTTCAGAGAGAGAAAGGTAAAGGGAGAAGGAAATAGAAAGGGCAATGATGAGAGAGTCATGGATCCGCTGCCTCCTGCACGCCCCTGACTGGGGATCGAGCCTGCAAGTAGCCCCAGCATGTGCCCTGACTCAGAATCAATTTATTATAAAAACAATGAACCAAGAATAACCAAAACATACATGATAAAAAGTGATGGATTCTTCTCACACACAAAACTCAATTCCAAGTACATTAAGAATTTAAGTATAAAGCACAAAACTGTAAAATATTTATAAGACAGGTGAATATATTCCTGATGTGAAGTCAAAAATGATTTCTTAACACAAATCATTAAGGAAGAAATTGATAAACTTGGCTACATCATTTAAAAAAACTGTTCATCAAAAAATATCGTAAAAGAAAGCGAATGAAAAGGTAGAAATTAAGAGAAGATAATTACAATCTATATAATGCACAGAGGATTAATAACAATGATATATAAAGATGCACACCAAATCAATAAAAAACAAAGAAACCAGACATTCCAATTTTAAAATGGGCAAAATACTCAATAGGAATTTGACAGAAAACACTGAACAACAACAACAAAATGTTCAACTCCTTATAAATTAAGAAAATGATTTAAAAGCACAAAAAAAGACATCATTTTTGATTATTTGGTTGTCAAAAATAAGTTTGAAAATTTAAAAGATTGGAGATGTAACCATTCTTATTGTTTAACGGTGTGAATGTAAATGGGCACAACTTCTTAGGTAAACAATATGACATTACCTTGTGAAGCTGGAGGTTAACATAGCCTATAACCCAGCCATTCCCTTGCTACAGCATTTCTCAACCCTTAAAGTGCATATAAATAAAATCAGGATATTGGTAAATCACAAATTTTCAAGCATGAGCCAAGATTTCATGTTTTTAACAAGCTCATCTTGCCAGTCAGCTCAAACTTTGGGTAGCAAGATAAACTTAACACAACCTTTGCATATGCACAAAAGGAAATGTCTATAACCTTCAATTTAGACCATAGGTCATAAAATATCTATCTGTCTATTGAATTCATTGGGGTGACACTGGTTAATAACATTAGACGAGTCTCAGGTGTACAATTCTATAGCACAGCATCTGTATGTTGTACTGTGTGTTCACCACCCAGAATCAGATCTCCTCTGTCACCGTTTATCCCCCTTTACTTTCCTCTCTTACTCTCATACCTAACACCCAGCTCATCAGCAATTTCCAGTGAATGTGCCACCAAAACATATCTCAGATTCGTCCATTTCTCTCCATCTCCCCAGGGCAAGCTTCAGTTAATCTGGCCCCAAAAGCCACAATGTTTTTAACTCATCTTTCTGTTCCCTCTCTTATTCCCTCTTATAGGTTACATTGTGCCCCAAATATTTATATGTTGACAGCTAATCCCCCCAGACCTCCTAATAACCACATTTGAAGATCTTTATAAAGACATGGTTCAAAGCGTGTATCCTCAACCACTTGCAACACTGTCCCCAACAATAAGATTTCCAGAGTTCACTCTCGGGTGAGTTGTTCTGCTTCACGGGCCAGTACATCACTGAAGTATTTGGGCTGGGTGATTTCCAAGAAGCTTTCCTTCTGAAGTCCCTTAGAGACTAGTAGAGCCCTTGGCTTAA